GGGGGGTAGGGAAGTTCTTTCTCCCCTGAGTGCGTTTGTTCCGTACTACCTCTTCCTCGCCCTCCATCATCCACAGCAGCTGGTGGCCGCGGATCATCGTCAACATGTCACGAAACAACTGAAGGCCAGGCGCACAACACAAGGGGCAGCAGACGACGCATGGCATGACACAATCAGCCATAGATAGACTCTGCCTGCCACATCTATTGCTTGCTGGTCGGTGGCCGACCTTTTTGATGGCCTTGTTCTGGATGGCGGATACCCTGTACAGCCGCAGCATCATCTTCTGGCTGACCATACCCAGACAGACAGACAGACAGACACGCAGACACAGAGGAACACACACGTCAGGACGGACGGCCAGGCCCACCCAAATCAACACACCTACCTGTAAGCCTCGGCGATTTGGATGCACTCTCGCACCTGCGGCGAGTCGCTCTCCTTATCTGCACACACCACACAGCCCACACACCAGCTTGTAGGCGCCTACGATCCCTATCATCTCTGGGTGTGTAATTCGTTACGGCCCTGCCTATTTTGTTGGCCACCAGGAAGACAATCGGTTTGATCTTCTCCTGCACGGACACACACACATGGGAGGGATCCACCAAAGCAGCGAGAACACAGAGAGAGGGGTGGCCCGGACCTCAGACATTCACACAACCGCCCACCGACCCGTTTCTTTTCCAACTCCTCTTGCAGCATCAGATAAATGCCACACGCCTTTACCACACACACACACACACACACGTGTGGCAGACAGCCCGTGACCCCGCCGGCCGTTCTCACCTCATCGAACGACTTCTTGTCCGTGACGTCAAAGACGATCATGTAGCCCATCCGACCTGATAGATGGACGGGCGGAACAAGGCAAGCAAGAAACATGTCCACACCACGTATGGAGTGAGTGGATATGCACCGCACAGGACCGACGGACGGACCTCTGGTGAGTGCGTTGTGGTCGTATGCCGTGGCTGCCGGGAGGGGCGGCGACCAGAGGCCAAACGGGGTGGCGTCCTTGCCCTTGCCTATCACAACTGGATGGATGGGCACACCCATACCATACACACAGAGGGAAGGGATGGAAAATGCAATCAAGCACAGAAACCTCCCCCCCGTGTGCGTCTGACTCACTCACTCACTCTCTGTCCGTTCCATGCTGAGGAACCGCTTGACATTGCGGTCGTCGTCGCCCCTGTTGGACGCATAACTGACCAGGAACACCAAACACAAACAGACAAACAGCACAGTGCAGATCTGTGTGTGCCTCCCTCCAGTGTATGGCTCAGCTGAGCTTATCGTACGTGTCCTCTACTTCGACCACGACGGACGCCCGCCTGCCCTCCTCCTCCTCGCCAGACAGCCGAACAGTCTTGTAATACAACCTGCACACACACATCCATCCATCCGATGGACGCACACGCAGCGCACACACAGAGAGAGAAGGGAAAGGCAGATCGATAATCGTCCGTCCAATCGTCTGGCATCTTCGTTCGTCCTTTCATCCAAGTTAAGTTGCCTACGCAGGCCATTCGGTCTCTTCGTATGCGACTGGGCAGTAGTTGTTGACGAACATGTTGATGATGGACGTCTTGCCGCAGCCGCCAGCGCCCACGACAGTGATCCGGAAGAAGGGAAACTGAGATGCCATGGCTGGAATATAAGATGGACAGCTACTGATCCAAAGGTCGCGGAGATGGCGAGCTTAGAGTGGGGGCAGCGATTCATTGCCCCCACCCTCTGCATGCATGCACGCCGATAAGAAATAGGCCTTGATAGGACGTCGAGTGTGCCATCCTTCATTCTCAGCATTGCAAAAGGAACGGGGCTCTGCCAGAATTCCTTTTCCCATCCTCGGCAGCCCTCTATACGCCCATCCGTTCGGCTATTGCCAGTCTATCCATCCATCCATCCATCCATCCATCCATTGCAGTCGACTGCCATCATGCCGCCCTCCTCCGCCCCATCCTGCCGTCGAGGCAGTCCAAACATCCCCGATATCGATGCCCTCATCACCGCCGAAAACCCGTCCCGTTTGTCATCCACCATCATCCGCCTCAGCGGCGACAGAAATCTGGCCGCATGCCGCCTCTTTCGCGAGGCGCTGAGCCGCCACCGGCACGCGCCTCTCGCTTGTTTTGGGTCCTTGTCTGAGAAGATGTTTCTGGGGCTTATCAGCTGCTGTGTGCACTGGGGCCGCGACGGGCAGGCCGATGAGGTCATGGAGGCCATGAGGGAGCTGGGGGTCCCCCGGTCACTGCACTTCTATGCCGCCGTCATGAAGATTCATGCCGCCAAACAGCACTTCAGCAAGGTGCGAGGAGGACAACAGAGCGGGTGAAGGTACTGGTGTGTGTGTGTGTGTGTGTGTGTGTCCATGTAGGCGTTGGCTCTGTATGACACGTTGGTGTCTGACGGCCTCGAGGCCGACAGTGTGATGCTCAATTGTCTGCTGCATTTCGCGGTGGACTGCGGCCAGCCGGCCCGTGCCCTGGAGTTCTTCGATCAGCTGTGCTGCATGGCCCGCCCGTCTGTCAAGGCATACATGACCGTCCTGCGCATCCACGCAAAGGACAACGACTTCCGCAGCTCAATCAGGCTCTTCCGGGCAAGCACATTGGCACCGTACCTCCCGTCGGCACTGATTTATTTTGCCTGCCTGCCTGCCTGCAGATGATGTGCGAGAGTGGGGTGGAGCCCGACACCCTCGTGCTGAACCAGCTGCTGTCGATCTGTGTCAACGCCAAGCGCGTCTCACTCGCCCGCGACATCATTGACCTGTGTCTGCAGCACCAGCCGGACATTCTTGACACCATTAGCGTCAACACACTGATCAAAGGCCACGCCATCCAGGACGATCTCCCGAGCGCCCTGGACGCGTTCGAGGCGCTCAAGGCCCTGGGGATGCAGCCCACGACCATCACGTACAACACCTTGTGCACGACGGCAGCCAAATGCCACGAGTGCGACCTGGTGTGGCGGCTGGTTGGGGAGATGCTCAGCAGCCGCCTGCAGCCCGACAGCTACACCTGCTCGGCCCTCGCCAAGACGCTTCAGCTGTCTGTCGAGAGGATCGATGAGCAGAGGATGCACTGGGCACTGACAGTGCTGCGCCAGGTGTGCATTCGGGAGAGGCGCCGAGCGGCTGGGCCGTCCGTGACGGGTGGTGGCGGGGGATGTTCAGGTACTGACGAAAGGCCAATGGCCACAACGGCGGTAGGCGGGCACACACCAGCACCGACACCCGCAAGGAGACAGAGAGACAGACTGCAGACAGTGTCCTGTGTCTTCAATCTGCAGGCCTTGTTCAATGCGTTGCTCGGTGTTGCTCGTGAGGCCTACCATATCGACCGCCTGTGCGATCTAATGGATGATTTCGGCATCAAACCCGACGCAGCCGGCTACAGCAGCCTCATTCGGGGCTTCGCCAAGCATCACCAAGTCGATCGCGCCATGAATCTCATCCATGAGATGCGCAGAGACGGGGCGAGCTACCTACTTTGCAACACCGCCACCTACAACAGCCTGCTCGAGGCATCTGCCCGGGCGGGCAACATGCGTTGGATGGACAGGGTGCTGAGTGGCATTACCGAGGACGGCGCCCCGCCCAACCTCATCACCCTGGCCATTGTCGTGAAGGCTTATTGCGAGAGTGGACACTTGGAAAGAGCCATGGGCGTGTTCGAGGAGCTGACGGCGGATGGCTGCGTCGAGGCAGACGAGGCCGTCTACAACACTCTCCTCCGTGCCTGCTGCTCCTGCGCTCCCCCGCGGCCCTCACTCGCCCTCAGCCTGGTCGAGCACATGCTCACCAAAAAGGTCGCACCGACCAACGTCACGGCGTCCATATGTGTCTCGCTGTTGGGCAAGCAGTGCGGACTCATGGACAAGGCCTTTGAGCTGGTCCTGAAGCGCATGAAAGACGACTATGGCGTCACACCCAGCCCCCAGGCGCTCTCGAGTGTCATCCAAGGCTGCAATTTCGAGCGAGGAATACGGGTGTTTCAGCTCATGGCAGACGGGCTGACCCCTGTGCCAGTTGGTGCGCAAGATACGCGCAGCCTTCTTCGATGCGGTCGGCCGGAGGGGCGACACCATAGCCCTGAAGAGCTCCCTTTAGCCTGTCTGCACACACGTCCTTGGCCTCGGCCTCCAATTGAGCGCCTGAGTGATGGAATACGGGTGTTCGCAGAAGGTGAGGCGGTGTATCAACCTTCTAACTTGTGAGGTGTGCTTGTCGGACTTCCTCAACGATCTCGTGGCACATTTCCTGCATGTCCAACGGACTTAATCGGCCGCTCACACGCTCACACGCCTGCTTATGGTGCAGAGCAGACACGGTGATGATATTCTCTCTTCTGTTTCTTACCTGGCCAGTGAGTGTATTTTTCTCCTCCTTCGATGAGGCATTCACAGCTGAGCCGACGATTTCGGCGTACTGCACACACGGCTCTTCGGCACCTGGGGCCCCCTGCGCGATGCGAGACGCCTTCTCGAAGAAAGATGGACCGTTTGCAGCCTTCTCCGGCGAGTGCCTCTTCGTGCACGAATCTCTGGCGACTGCCATCGCGTAGCCCTTCGAAAGGCCTGACTCTCAACGGGGACACATAATCTTCGCTTCCTGGCGCTGTGGTCTTTCCCATATTGAGCACGTCATGCGTCACATGCTGACATTCATCAAAGGATGCAAAACCAGCCTGAACAAAAAAAGGCATCCGTCAAGCCGGACAGTATAGATATCGATCGATCGTACATGAGAAGGGACGTCGAAGTGCAGGGGATGCGGGGATGGCGATGTGCTGCTAGGTCTGTCGTCATTCGGGGCATGTGTTGGGGCCGGGCTCGTTGGTCTGGCATTCGCCGTCGGTGTGTCCTTTTGGAAGGTTTGCTCGTATTCGGAGTCACAGAAAGCTGACATTTCCCTTCGAAACGAGGCCAAATCACCTTCGGGGCCACCTAGGATAGCACGGCGGATGGCCAGAGGTATCATTGACCCACAGCGTAGTACTTACTCGCTTCATCGGCCCTCTTCGCGATGTCCGCATAACGATCACAAAACGACACGTCCTGACATCAGTCAGAAGAGAGACACGTAGACTCAAGGGCCTTCGGTGCATGCAATGCGCCGCCGACCATTGTATGAGAGCACTTCTCCTGGAGCTGCTTTGAAAGGACATCTCCTCGCAACCTCTTGAACGCTTGAGATGCAAACTGAACGCAGCTGTAGTGAAAGTGCTTCGGGTCGATGCCATGTGTGCCTGCACCAGCCAATCAACACGAGACCATGTATGCCGAAAGACGAGGCAGGCTGTCAGTCGGACACCTTTGCCCTGAGTGACGAGCTCGTCACAGACTCCGTCCGCGTCCAGAAAGCCTGACACACAAAGACAGAGACATGGCAATGCCATGCAGATGCCGAAGCCCATTACACTTACCTTCCTGTAGGGAGTCAACCAATTCCTCTTCAACAAGTGTACATGTCGACTCTTCTGCACGTAAGAGGCATTGAGACACAGAGTGAATCGAAGTGACCAGTGCCAAAGGAACATCGCCGACCATCGCTGGCGAGCTGACTCGGACGGAGCTTCTCGCAGGCTGCTTGAAGTGTATGTTGGACTTCAGGCGCGTCAATTAGCTGTTTGATTGTTTTCTGGCAGGCAAGATGGTGGCTCACCATCGGATCTTGCAGCTGGCTCGAATTCATGTGCCGGTTCCTCTCCACTTGTTCACAAAACTCATGAGCGCTGATGTTGCGCCCGATGAAATGGGAGGTTGTCACCACAAGCTGACAGAACGATTTGCAGTCCTCCTCTTCTGTATCCTGCACCACAGATAGGCCAATTCAGGACATCCGATTCATTCTTCTGTGACCTCTCAGATCTCCCACCTTCTCATGGACGAAGCCTCGCCGGGGGTGGTGAATTCTGCAGAGGGTCATACACGAGTACACTCTATCGGGCTCACGGGCTGACAGGATCTGCGGAAGGATATCCTCACAAGCTGCTTGGGGATCGCCATTGGGCCTTTGCAGCAAGAAAGATCTGCAGCCACCAAATGCCGTCAAGGCCAGCAAGATCGGCAGAAGATGGAGCCGCATCCGGCACGGCTTGGATCTGTGCCCCTCGCAAATGGTCACGCCACTGGATGCCGTCGGCCTCTTTGAGGACGCCCTCGTCTGCCGCTCCATCTTTTTGAGTGTGGCGAGATCGCAACGAAAATTGTCCCCTCGGGGGCCTGTGCACCCGAGCTAAACCCGCGGGATTCAAAGGACATGCACATGGCGACGGCCGAGCCGAGCAATGACTAGACAGCGATTCCATCCAATGCGGAGGGCACCGAGGTCAGTCGTTCGGTTATGAATTGACTCGTTCGTTTACAAATTCGGGTCGCCCCCAGTCTGGCAGCTGTCGAAGGCGGCCCTCACTCGAACGCACTCTTGAACACGTACTTTCGATCCATGGGGACTGACCTGTATGACGAATCGCAGCAGCAAGGGTCAGATTCAGCTGCGGCTGCGGATGAGTCAGTGGAGGAGGAAGGCGACATACCCACCCTCCCACAAGGTGTGCGGACTCTCGTGGACCTCCGCGCGTCACAGCAGCACGAAACCACCGCCCCCCCTCAGCCCTTTCCTCTCTTGGATGGTCAGCTCACCGTGGCTGCGAGGAGGGAGAGCTTTCAGGCCGGACCCACACAGTTGACAGATGTGTACTGTGGGGAGGGAGGGGAGCCGTATGATCCCGACAATGACTTGGTGAGTTGATCATCGAATGCCCTGCGTCCTTATTGCCTCTTGTCTAACTGTCACACACAGAATTTGAGGACGAGCGCCATGCTGGCGTCCCTGGCTGACGTGTATCGCACCGACGTCTTTCAGAGGTTCTCGGAGCACGTCGCTGTCCTCAGGCGAAATCGGTTTGCCCACACACCACACTTGCAAAGCATGCATTGTGCTGCTTTCACTGTATTATATATGCCCTCTTTCTGCATTTGTGTCTCTCCAGGGCCAGGCCGTTTTGTTTGTCTGCCAGTGCGCCTGACGGAACGAGCCCCATCCTGCGCGTCAAGACATTTTTCGACCTGAGTAGTTTCGACTTCAAGAATATCATGCAGAAGGAGCAGTTTCAGTCACAACCGGGCAGCCTCCTCCTGGTCCGCCAGAGCAAATAATCAATGCCGTCGTCGTGTGTGTGTATGTGAGTATGTGATTGCCTGTCAATGTTATGTGCAGATATGGATGTTCTACAGCCGCTTGTACACCAAGTTAATCGAGGAAGCTCTGGGCCACGCGTCTGGGACCTTCTTCGCCCCAATTGACCTGGACGAGCGGCACGTGTGCTTCAGGGAGATACTGGACTTTGCCAGGGACTTTGACATGTTCGGGCCGTCCGTCGGGCTTACCAAAGTGCAGCTGGAACGAGTGAGCAGACACCACGAGTCTTCTTTCACGTCACGGTGTTCTTCTGTCTGTGTCAGGCGTGGCAAACGATCGCTCCGGTGCTGCCTGAGTATGAGAACCACCGGTTCAAGGCCAAGGTGACCTTTGATGAGTTCGTGGACTACCTGACAGTGCTTGGGGACGTGGCCATGAGCCACCCGAGGTGGAACCTCCAGCACTACAAACGGTCCGCCAGGGTGCTCATGTTCTTCAAACAGCTGGTGTGCACGAAGGCAGGACCCTTCAGACAAAAAGGGACAGGCGCATTCGCTCTATTCGTCGGTGCCTTCGTTGTCCTTCTCATGTGTGTCAGGGTCTGTACAACGTCAAGGCTGTCAAGGCACGTCTCCTCGATGCCTACAGGGACACGCACATCCACCGCTTCAAAGCCTTCCCATTCAACCCTTTGGAGATGCCCAAACGGGCATTCCTCCTCGCAATGCCCAAAGGCATGCACTCATCGATCGACGCTGCTTCACCTTACATACATTCGTCCTGCCTTGCCGTATGTGTGTGTGTCAGGCGTTGTGTTGATGGTCCCGGAGGAGAAGCGTCTGAACGTGTTGCGCGACGACGCTTTGAAGAGGTTCATCGAGCGGCGGTTCGTGTGGCTTGACCAACGGACCATATGGGAGGCATTTGAGGGGCCCTGGATAGACATGGGCGTCCAACAGGTCCGTTGTCTGCCACCACGGACTGAATGATCGTGTCTCCTCAGCAGCACGCCTTTCGCATATCTGTCCGTCTGTGGTGCTGCTTGCTGCTGCAGTGGAACGTGCGAAAGAGCTATCGCATGGACATCACCAACCTCAAGTAACCAAACATGATGCAGCAAGGAAGCGTTTCCTTGGAAATTGTATCAGCTTCCATTCGTGCTACCTGAATGTGTCTGTGGAGCACTGCGACCCCGTGAGAGTCACATACAAGACCACACCGCTGCGTAAGCACGGCATACAGACACACATGCGCACCACTCTCCATGCATCAGTATCCTGGTTTCCTCCCCTCGTCTGCAGCTCCTGGTGCGACAGTGCAGGTGATGGTCGACAGCGAGCCCACGTGCTGCGGGGAGTGGCTGGGTTTCATCTCCATCGATGCCATCACGGCCAGAGGCGACTGGGGTCAGCACTCATTGACACGGCACATACACATACACATGCGCCCACATGGATGTGTGGGGCCGATGTTGTTTGCAGAGCGTGTGGGTGTTCCGATCTATCTGCGGACGGTGATGCCCGGGACCCACCCGCGCGCAGAGCAGCTGCCCATGCACGCGCCCTCACCGTTCCAGAAGAAAGGCGTGCACGGTAAGCAGAGAGAGCAAGTAGAGGACACACATGACGCGCACACATATCGTGGGCTTTGTTCAGATGTCACGTCAGGCCTTCGCAGGACCATAGAGCACATTGACCCGACGTCAACAAGGTTACCGACAGACCGAATGGGTGTGCCCTACATGTGGTCAATCACATTACTGCACCCTTTCTGCGTGCGCAGCAACCTTGTTGCCCGCCGGCCGGGCTCTGCGCAGACGAGCGAGGGGCGACACGAGAGGGAGTGGCTGATGGAGCAGGAGCAGCAGAAACAGACAAAGCAAGGTCGCGAAGGACGGTCTTCACATGAAGCAACCAATGTGGGAAAGAAAGCTTCTTTCGTTGCTTTCCTACACGACTAACAGGCCGTGTCCACTTCGCCCCCGCGCCGCTTCTGCCACCCGGGCCACCCGGCAAGATTGACATGCCTGCCGTCCTCCCTCTCTCGGCCTCACTCAGGTCAACCAATCACACACACACACACCCCTGAGACACACTCGCAACGGCTGTCTGCATGCCCCAGGCCCCCTTCGCGCGGCCTCTCCCTTCGCACATCGTCTGTTTATAGCAACCTGGCTGGCCTGAGGGGGTCGAGAAAAGTAGACCTGACGGCACATGGGGGAGGAGTGGGCAAGGCCAGAGCGGCTCAGCAGCGCCTTGGTGTTGACAGAATGCTCACAAGGGCAGGGAGCCTCCCCTCCTTGCCTGGGCCACTGTCGCCACCACTCATGCAGGGTCAGGGCACACACAGAGACAGACAGACAGACAGACACATACGCAGTGGTTCCCCCTCTCTGTCTTTCGTCGCGTGGATGCCGGGCTGCTCTCTGCGTGTGTTCGTGTGTCTATTTGGCAGCTTCTAGCTACAAGGATTTGCACCAGATGAAGCTGTCTCAGTTGATGCGGAGCAGCTCGATGAAGACCGAGGCCAAGAGACGCGCGTCTCAGCTGCTGAGGAGTCAAGACAGCGCATGGATGAAGGACGGCACCTTCCTGCACTTTCATGACTGACTGACCGACTGACTGACTGACTGACCGACCGACTCACATGGGGAGGGCGGGCACTGTGGGTATGAGCATCTCCCAAGCTAAGCTGTGAGGGGGTAACTAACTTCCAGACAATCTCAATAACAACAGAGAGCTAGGTGCTAGACGAAAGCCGAGTGTGTGGGTTCTGTTCGTTCGCCTGTCTGATTACATACATGCCTACTGTGCTATGTGGTTGCTGGATGCCCAGGGGATTTGTGCATCTGTCCTGCACGGCTGTTAATGGAATCTGTCGATGCGCCCATGAGTCCAATGTCGACCATCATGTATACCCACAAACGCGCACACGTACATCCATGCAGCCAGCGAACCACCCATCCCCAACACTTGTGGACACACACATACATCCAGATGAGCGAGTGGTTGGTCAAAAATGGGTCGCATCGCGAGCCAGCTGCTCATGGGACCTCAGAACAAGATCGCCACTCCCCACACGATGACACGCACCCCCGTTACCTCTCTCTCTCTCTCTGTACATATAACCAAGGCCATTCGTCTCCTCCCCTACGGCCCCGAACCGAACTGCAAGAAGAACCCGCTGGCCAGTCCCCACAGAACAAAGATGAACGGCGCCGCTATCAAAACAGCCACACCTGCAAGCAACCGCGCAACCATGCAGCTTGATCTATCAGGTCCAAGTCACTGCGTACCGATGATGCCCGGGTCACGTGCACGGTCCTTGTCACTCATCTGGTCCACCCGCGTCAGGTAGAAGTCATCAGGGTCGTTCTCCCGCGTTATCTGCTCGCGCCCTATCATCTCCTTCGGCTTGCCCTCGCCTGAGCCCGGTGATGATGGCGGCTCCTGAAAGACCACTGTCGGTAGATGCCGGGCTGGCATGCGCTGTCTTGAAAGCAGAAGGGGTTTGTGTGCGGGCAGGGTGAATGAGTGGGCTGAGGGGAGGGAGAGGGCTATGAGGCACAGGGCTGCCGCAAGGGCCGCGAGATACGATGCTGGTGATGGATTCGGGCTCTTCATTTGGCAGATAACAGCAGAAACCCGATGGCACTCAGTCTGCTCTTCAGCAGAGGAACTCACCCAGATGCCTGCAGACAGGAGAATGAACATGCGTCTGGTGACCATAAACACAGTGCCACACACAGAGGCGTACCTCGCGTGTAGGGGAATGTTCAATTTGGGCGCGAGATCTGACGCCTTCGCCGCTAAGCTCGCAGAGGTAGAAGCGGGAGATCTCGAGCAACAAAAGCGGTGGCAGAGAACAGCGCGTTCCATGGTCATTATGGCGTATTGGATCCAAGCATTGAGATGATGTGGAGACCAGGAAGTGATCCCGACGGTCCTTGTCAAGCTTCGAGAAGGCCGCCGAGGGAGGCATCTATGACGAAGCATGTGGCTCTTACTTTCGTCTTGAGTCTCACTCTCGTGTTGCATTCAACAGCGCAAGTCCCACGCGGGCCGCCGCCTCCACGAGCCCCTCCCCCGCCTCCCCCGCCACAGCCAGGGCAGCAGCAGCCACCATATGGTGCGCCAGACATGGGAGGCGTCAATTATGCGCAGCAGCAGCCGCCACAGCCGCCTCAAGGTGTTCCAGGAGGGGTACCTCCAGCACCGGGTGGCGGCTATCCGTATCAGTATGCCTATCAGATGCCGCCCCAGGGTCAGCAGGCGGGCGGCATGCCGCCACAGGGGGGACCTGGTGGCGTCGGCCAGCCACCACCGCCTCCCCCTCCCCCTCCCCCACCCGGTCAGCAGCAGGTGTATCAACAGCCGCCACAGCCAGGGCAGCAGCAGCAAGGCCAACCTCCCCCTGCACCACCTGCACAGCAGCAGGTGCCCTATGGTCAAGCCAAGCCCCCTCCCCCACCCCCTCCCCCTCTGCCCCAGCGGCCTGTCCCTCCAGGCTCGCCACAGCAGCCTCCTTATGCCTATCAGCAGCAACCACCACAGCAGGCCTATGACCCGGCCTCTTACTATCAGCAGCACCAACCGCAGCAGCAGGTGCCACCACAGCCGCCGCCACCACACCACCCGGCACCGCAGGAGCCAAAGCCAGCGGCGTTTGTGGAGGACGACGAGCTGAAGCATGACGACTACGACGAGGTGCACCTGCACGAGGGGGGCGCCGGTGGGGAGGGGGGCAAGGGCGAGGGCATCCACGAGGACAGCTTGATTGAGGAGTGGGAGACCCAGATGCAGAACTTCGTGCCGGAGATGCTGGTGACCTTCCAGCTGGCGGGGCGGTCGGACGAGTATTTCTATGAGGAGGTGGGCGAGAAGCCTGTGTTGATCCGGGGGGGCTACTTTGTGTCGGCCGATGAGGACCAGGCCGACGTGGAGTTCCAGATCACCGACCCCGCAGGCGACGTCATCTACCACAAGTCGCAGGCGGAGGGACTCTTCTACTTCGAAACCAAAATGGCCGGTAAGAACATGAGCAGACATGTGTGTTGGGCAGACAGACAGACAGATGAGTGCTCTCTCTGTATCTGCCGTGTATTGCAGGTGTCTATTCGTTCATCGTGTCCAACCACCGCTGGGTCGAGTCGAAGCTGGTCACGTTTGCAGTGGGGATGGGCAACGACACGGCCTTGCAGCCGACGCACCTGAATCCGATGGAGGACCACCTGTCGACCATCGACCGGCAGCTGCGGGACATCCAGGCCGAGTCGACCTACCTGTGGGTGCGCCAGCGGTCTCACATGAAGGCCGTCGAGGGCACCAAGCAGAGGGTCCTCTGGTTTGCAGCCGTCCAGTTCATCGTGCTGATGGGCGTCTCAGCCTTCCAGGTCTACTACATCAAGAGCCTGCTCAGCGACAGGCGCATCCTGTGATTGATGAGAGTATCGGTATATGCGTGGGGTGACGGGCCGAGCCGTTGGCAGGAATGGTGTGAATTTAAGCGCATATCGTGTTTTGTGTCTGTCTTGCCAGCCCGTTCGATCATGCGTTGACGCTTGTCCATCCATGTAACGTACGCATGAGTGACGCTTTAACCAATTCAACATGGTGATTTGGGTTGAATCAGTGCACGGACAAAAGGCCAACTTACACCTGACGGCAATCCACAAATCGTCCCATCCAGCAGCTGGCCATTAAGCCAACATCATCAGCCAGGCGGATGTGTGTGTGTTCCTGTTTTCCAATTTCTGTCGCATGATGTGAACCATGGGTGATTTGTGTTGATTATCTGGGCGGGTCATTCCTGTCTATGGCGGATGAGATAGAGGTGCTGCGTGTGGTGCAGTAGTGAGGGATGGAGGGAGGGAGCGAGAGAGACCCTCTGTGCCGCCCTGGGTGCGCCCCTGTCTGTCTGTCTGTCTGTGTGTCTGTGTGTCTGTGTGTCTGTGTGTCTGCCTTTTTTTCCTATCATCTAAGTTAGCTGACCTGCCGGCACACTGCTGGTGCCTTTGTGTGTGTGCCTGTCTGTTGATCGGTGAGTGTGTGTGCGGTGGCTGAACTGCATGCACTGCACTGAATGAGCGACTGTGGCTGCCTGTGTACATGTGTCTGTCTGTATGTCTGTCCGCGTGTCTGTTCAGTGTGTGGCGAAAGGGGCGGGGGACGAACGAACGGAAAGACTGACTGGTGCTGGCGATAGGCGTGCCCTGACGAGAACTATCAATTGAATGCAGGGATGGAGGGTCCGTACCAACACACTGGGGAGCAACGAGACAAAAAGTTTAATGAGACACGATGGACGATTGAATGAATGAAGCAATGAATATATCCGTGATCAACTCTTGTGAAAGTGGCCTGACGTCGTAGCATGTACTTAGACAACTTTGATTTCATCTGTTGCGCGAAGTCCACACGTACGGGCACGCGCCACCATTCGCTCATACGTGAGTCAGTCAGCGGTGTGTGTCTCGCAGAGTCGGCTGGTGAAGCACTCGTGCTGCTGGTCCGCACAGTCACTTTCGCTCAGCGTCAGGTCATCATCCGTCTGCGGCAGCACGGGAATCTGTGGTGGCTGGACCGAACCGTCGCTCCTCTCCCTCTCCCGGATGATCGATGAAAGGTCAAGCGCTGGTACTGCGAGGGAGGAGCTGTTGCTGTTGGTGGCCGTGGCTGGGTCAGGCTGACTCAACGTGCGGTTGATCAAGCCGGAGACCTGCACAAACGCGATGGGAGGAAGGAAGAGCGAAGGTCCTGCCTGCTGGTGCCACTTCAACCGTACGTACCTTGCTCTCGCCGCTGTCTGTCTGTTCGGATGTTGCCTTGTCCATTCGTCCCTCTCTCCCATCGTCCGATGAGTCAGACAAGAAGTTGGTAAGGTCGTCACTGTGGCTGTGGAGAGGGCTCAGAAAGTCTGCCCCCCAGCCACCCCCAACACTCCCAACACCAACACCAGTCGACGGTGGATGGTGACGGCCAGGCGGGAGAACTCCTGTCTCACTGGCTGTGCCCGGCCAAGCATCGCCTGGCGCCTTTGCCGACGGCTGCACCTCCGGTGAGGGCGTGTCGTCGATTCTGCCAACTCCTGGCGGCAGTCGGCGACTTGACGGTGGCTTCTGCTCGGCCTTCTTGGGGACTTGGTCTGCCACTACAGCAGCAAGGGAGGGGAGTGTGCTGCCTTGTGACGCCAAAAATGTCGCTGTGAGGCGCTGCTGAAGGGCGGTGTCTGTTTGTTGGAGGAACGTCTTCGATGCTGCGAGTGAGCGGGCGTCCGCAGCCAGCGATGAGGGCACATTCTGTGGACGAGACATAATCCCTTCTGCGGATTTAATGACGTCTTCGGGGCCTGAGTGACGCTCCTTCCGGCCGTGCTGCTGATGCGTGTAGGCCCTCTCCTGTTTGCTCCCACACGTCCCCCCGCTCAGCTGCACCCGCGCCTTGAGAGACGAGATTGCAAACCAGCCCGGAGTCTTGACAGACGGCGCCTCGTAGCCACATTCAGTCGCGTTAATGGCTTTCTGTCTCTCCTGGTCGTCAGTTTCTTCCTCATGAGGTGCCTCTGTGTCCACAGTGGGGATGTTGACGTTCGTTGAATGTTCATGACCGTGGTAGATGGATGCATACATGTGGACCACATGGATCGTTCACTCGATGCATTTGAGTGTCTCATCGGTGTCTCTGTCTATCTCATCCCATGCGTGTCCATCCATGTGTCCATCCCATGTGTGTACCCCAGATGGATTGTGGCGACTCATCTCCCCCCGTCTCTCCCCTCCCCTGTCCGTGGCTGCCCCACCCCCTCCCACATGCAGTACATGAAACTATATACACCGAGACCGCCAGAGTGACAAATATAGACCAGAGCCCGATGAACGAGCACTTTTCAAGAAATAAACGACTGACACACACCGACGGGTGTTGAGAGCGCCTCCATACACCCTGGCTCTCACACCCCCAAAAAATAAACAAACAAAAAAGGCAAAAGCAAAAACAAAAAACCAGGCACCGACCAGTCCATGAGTGACACGAATCTTTCATGCACTACACTATGTGCATTGAAGAAACATCTTCAATAACATTGCAGAAAGAGATTGACCAGCCACGAGGCCGCGGCTGGATGGATGGATGGATGGACCGGGGGGGGCATTCATATGTGTACACATAAAACACAAAAAGACATACTCTCTCCCAACCAACACCAGCCAGACACACAGGGAGCCATGAGACGAGCCACAAGCAGGCAGAGACGAGCTACTGTGTGACAGACACATCAGTAGGGACGCAAGCTATCTCAGAGGTCATGTGGCTAATCTCACTCTCCCACACCCACAGCCCAGCCAGCAGTCACTGACTCACATACGTAACACATGAAATACATGCAGGTATGTATGTGCACATCCACTCAGCCAGTCATGCACAGCAAATCAGATCAGAGCTCGGTGGACAAAGCACCCATACGGACGCTTGCCACTTCGCAACACAAATACGTCATGAAACAGGCGATGTACATTGAAGGCAAAGAGCAGCCAGCCACCAGGGGAGGGGGGCACTGGCAAAATAAGGTGTACACAAATACACATACACACATGACCCTTGACCCAATCAACAACAGCCAGAAACACAAACAGCAACAAAACGAGCCACAGGCAAACAGAGACGAGGTACTTGTGTGAATGGAACACCACCGCAGATCAGATCAGATCAGATCAGATCAGTAGGATCTCAGACGTCATGTGGCTTATCTCTCTCTCTCCCCTCCATAGCTCGACTGACTGACTGGCAACGCCTGATTGACATCGCCTGACTGCCATCGACGTACACAACACACTAGTAGCAGGTGCAGTCGCAGGGATGATAGAGGGTGTAAGGACCCTCGTGGTGGTGATGGCCACACTTGCAGTCACAACCCATACGCCAGTGATGACGACACTCGCACGGACAGTTGTAGGTGCGCTGGCTACCGTGGGTATCTTTTCCCGGCAACCCCCCACCGCACCAGCAATCACAGTCATCCTCATGGGAGTGGAAGTTGATTCTTGGGGGGGGATGGTGGTGGTCGTGGTGGCCGGGTTTGGGTTTGATGCTTGGGGGGTGATGGTGGCGGTCGTGTTGGCCGGGTTTGATGCTTGGGGGGGGATGGTGGTGGTCGTGGTGGCCGGGTTGTAGAGCCCTCACTTCAGGATCGTCATCACCCTCCTGCACAGACACATGCAGACAGACACACATGACAAGACAGCGACAGACAGACACACGAATGCACATGCATAGCGGCCTAGAGAGCAGCGCAAGCGGTCATGCATTGCTTACCGTCGACTCCTGCAGCTTGCGCAGGGAGGATGGGTGCTTCACGTCATCAGCAGCACCGGCCACCAGGAGGGCACCAACCAGGCACAGAAGCGGCTTCATCGGGGGAGAACAAGTGAGAGAAACGACAAAGGACAACAGTCACCTGAGGGAGGAAGGCGGAATGAAGATCTGGAGCGGAACGAGTCGGACGAATCTGGAGCTGGAATCTGTCCTCTCTCTCTCTTCCCACCCGTTTGGACCGGGACAGGCGAGAAGAGGGAACGTGAGCAGAAACGCGATAATATGTTTAGCGACTTAGTCACTAACTCCATGCACAGCCACGGCACCAGAGCGTGAAGTTGCGATAGCAGCTGCGCCTGAACGTCGCGATGGGTCAGAGAGAGGATGCGATGACCTTTAATGGTGCAGATGAGTGCTCGAAGGCACGGACGTATCAGGTTGCTGTTTCTCGCATATGTGTAGAGCCGATGTGTATGTCTATGAGCAGGAAGTGTTTGTCTTCCTCGATGTGGTGTGTATCCACTGATGGATGCGTCTGACCGACGTACCACGTGTCTCTGTCTCGCTTTCAATCCGTAGTGTCAGTCAGACTCATTCACACGGTCACTGTGGAGGCGGGATGAAGTAGCTCAATGACTTAACACATGCACGTAGGCATCGGTTGGACAAGAGACCCACGAAATAAACGTATACGCACAAATCAAGTGCACTCGGTCGTGCAGTATTTGTGCATGTGCGTAGAGATACACAGGCATGGCAGAGACACGGGCTATCGTCATGGTGAGACAGCATTCGTGCGCAAAGACGTTCTTTAAGTGCGTGAGGTGTAAAGGTAGGTGGATGTCGGTGGATGTGGCTGTTTGACATTCGTTGAGGGTTCATGACCATGGTGGGTGGATGGATGAATGGCCGCGATGGATCATCCACTCGATGCGTTGATATGTTTGAGTGTCTTGTCGGTGTCTCTGTCCAGCCCATCCGTGTCCATCCCATCCATGTGTGTACCCCCAAGATGGATTGTGACGACTCATCTCCCCCTCCCTCCCCTCCCCTCTCTGTGGCTGCCCCTCCACCTCCCACATGCAGTACATGCACCCATATACACCGAGCCCGCCAGAGTGACAAATATAGATCAGAGCCCGATGAACGAGCACTCTTCAAGAATAAACGACTGCCACACACCGACTGGTGCTGAGAGCGCCTCCATACACCCTGGCTCCCACACACCAAAAAAATAAACACAAACAAAAAAGGCAAAAGCAAAAACAAAAACCCAGGCACCGACCAGTCCACGAGTGACACGAATCTTTCATGCACTACACTATGTGCATTGAAGAAACATCTTCAATAACATTGCAGAAAGAGATTGACCAGCCAACAGGCCGCGGCTGGATGGATGGATGGGGGGGGGCATTCATACGGGTACACATAAAACACATAAAACGCATAAAGACATACTCTCGCCCAACCAACACCAGCCAGACACACAGGGAGCCATGAGACGAGCCACAGGCAGGCAGAGACGAGCTACTGTGTGACAGACACATCAGTAGGGACGCAAGCCATCTCAGACGTCATGTGGCTAATCTCACTCTCCCACACCCACAGCCCAGCCAGCAGTCACACAGTCATCCACACCACACTAAAGCGCGACTCAGGGATCATGCGATTACAAAAATGTGACATACAGTTGTGGAGGTGATGTCAGCGGTGGCACGACCAGACCCAGTGACAGTGAGGGTGGGGATGCAGCTCTCTTACAGGAACTTCAGCAGCCTCCTGCACACACACACGCAGGCAGACAGACAGACGTGCAAGGCTCTGTGTCTGGGGTGAGGGTCGCTGCCTGTGTGTGTGGTGTCGTGTTCGTCCACCTCTGCGGAGAGCATCCGGTGGCACGACCAGACCCAGTGACAGTGATAGTGGGGATGCAGCTCTCTCACAGGAGGTTCATCACCCTCCTGCACACACAGCCATGCAGATAGACAGACAGACAGACGGACAGACAGACATACGTACGTACATGGTTCTGTGTCTGGCGTGAGTGCCGCTGTCTATATGTGTTATGTTGTTCGCTTGCCCACCTCGGAGAGCATCCGGTGGTGTCCATGGTCGTGGTGGTGGTGTCCATGGTGGCCGTGATGGTGAGGGTGCCACCACCAGGGGTGGTGATGATGGTACCACCACCAGGGGTGGTGACAGTGGTGCCCGCACCAGGTCCCCAGCGCCCTCCGCTCCTCGCCGTCACCCTCCTGCACACGTAGTACATGATACACACATCGATACAGACAGACAGACGTTCACAGTCTGTATGTGTTATGTGCAAAGTGCTGTTCGCCCACCTTTGGGGTAAAGGCGTCATCACCTTCCTGTACTCAGACAAACAAACACCCGCACACAGGCACATGGCTGGTCTGCGAGCGCTAAGTATGTGTGTGTGTGGCTGAGTGCTCCCGCACCCACCTCAAGATCGTCGTCATCTTCGTCGCCACCTTCGGAGTCCTCAGGAGGGATCTCAGGCTCCTCGGGGACAGTCACCTCCTGCAAACACATGACAGACACACACGAAGCAGCGACAGACAGACAGACAGACAAATGCGTGCACATGCATAGTGCAGAGAGACCACAGGTGGGTGGCCGTGAATTTCTTACGGTCGACGGATCAGTGACGGCCGTAGACTCCTGCAGCTTGCGCAGGGAGGGTGGGTGCTTCACGTCAGCAGCAGCACCGGCCACCAGGAGGGCGCCGACAAGGCACAGAAACAGCTTCATCGCGGGAGAACAATCCAGGGTTCGGAATGGACTGAACGCACAGATATAGCACTGGAATGCCGACAGATGGTTGACGAATCAAGCAGGCTGCAAGCGGTCGGAGTCTGATGCAAGACAGAATGAATGCGAAGACGCACAAGACAGCTCTCCTCTCTATCCAGCCGGTCTCGGAACACTCCACTTCGCATTCCGGGAACGAACGAACACTCCGCGTGCGGCAAATGGAGCGACGAGGGGCAACCTGAGGTACATAGAGTAGAGAGTGAGTATGTGTGTTTGTCATCTGTGAATTTGATGCGCTTTGCCTCCCTCGCAAAGCTCGCGCCGGCTCGGCTCTCCCCGTTTTTGTATTGGGAGAAAACCAATTAGACTATAGCCGACCTCTGCGGCCCGACATCCGGAAGAGCCCGAAAGTCGCGGGAATGGACACACTCGCGGTAAGAGGGACACCAGCAGAGGCCTGGGCCTCCACCATCCATCCATCTACCTACCTTACCACCGCACGGGACGATGCACCGCGTGTGCATGCACCTTGTCTACTCATTCGGTTGTTTGTGTGTTGGTGTTTGCCTTGCTGTTTGTTCACTTGTGAATTGCATGCCTCTGCTCATTCTATTCAGGGGTCCGAGAGTTCTGTGGATTTGGGTCAGAACGAGGGGCTTGACGAGGAGGACGATGCCGCGGCACACGTCGGCAGGCGGCAGCACTCTGAACATGTGAGTCAGCCAGCACATGTATTATTGCATATCGTCCGTCGTACACACAACACAACATACACACGGACTCGGACTTTGGTCATGTCATGCACTCACTGCAGGGCTCTGTGACGGACCAGTCGCCCATTTCTGAGTCAGACTCATTCAATATCGGTACACAACGCACAGCTCTTGCGCTTCGTCACCGCACTGCACTGGCCCCAGCTGACTGATGAATGTGCATGCCATGCCCTGTACATGTGTGTGTTGTGTTGTGTTGTGTTGTGTCTTGTCTTGTCTTGTCTTTTGTGTTGTGTGTGTGTCAGCAGATCATTTGCTGGGTCCCGGTGGTCCGCGTGATGCGCCTGGCGGCCCGCCCTTCACGCACCCCATCCCGCCCATACCGATTGACCTGCACAGGTACACACACAGGGTAGCGGAAGGAACAATCGACGCACTTCACACTCCCTCCCTCCCTCCCTCCCTCCCCGGGTGTCTGTGGTCAGTGGTAATCTGCCGGCTCCGCAGATGCTGCTGCCGCCCAAACAGTCCACAGCGGTAAGGAAGCTCGACACATTCCGCCCGCCCCCTCGCATGCACATGTCCGTCTTCTGTGTGTCCGGTTGTCTGTCTCGTCGTGCATGCCATGCAGCCGGTGTTGCCTCCCCCCTCGTCGGACCTCTCGTCGCTGCAGCGTGAAGTCCTGGACCTCAGGCTCAAACTCGCCACACAAAACGCGGCGTACGTGCAGTCAGTCAGTCGGCCAGCGGAAGGTACAATCTGTGTCGATGGCTGCAGGTTCGAGCGTACGTTGAAGAACCAGATGGACCTCAATGCAGAGGAAGTCACAAAGGTGTGTGAGTGAGTGGCACCACCCACAAAACTGCACAACAGCAATGCAATGCACCACACACGGATAGATATGATGCCACATGTGTTTTACCTCCCGTGCGCCCTCCCTCCTCCCACACTCTCAGCTCAAGACAGAGCAGGAGAGGCGCATGGGGCCCTTCATACGGGTTAGCACACACACACAGACACATACATACCCATACCCACCTCATCCATCCCCATCTCTGTCTTTTTCCCAGGCGGCAGCGGACCTCTCTGTGTTGCGGGACCAGCTGCGCGACCTGAGTCTGTCGGAGGACCTGTACTTCGAGTTGCGGGGTCGCGGTGAGGATGAGCTGTCACTGCGTGAGTGGGTGCTGGTTCGAGTGTACGAGACGGTGCGGGGGTACAAGGAGCGGGTGGCCAGCCAGAGCAGGGAGCTCGAGATGCTACGCGAGAACACCGCACTCGCACAGGACCGACTCGACCAGTGCAAGCGGCAGCTCACACACGCACAGGTACCTACGCTTCTGGGGGCGTCCGCTAGGCGGCTGAGTTGAGTTGAGACGTAGTAAGTGCATACCCGGCTGGTGGTGTGCAGGTGTCCCTGGAGGGTGTGAAGGAGGACAGCTCCCGGCAGATCGAAGAGCTATCGTCAGTAACCCACAAAGAGACAGACAGACAGACCTGTGTACGGCGTCGCGTTTCTGACCGACCTGGCTGTTGATGCATGCCATGGGTGCAGGCATCGTTGTGCGGCGTTGGCTGACGAGTGCCGGCATAAGAAGGAGGCCCTCGAGGAGACCCGCGACAAGATGCTGCGCTACGACGACAACCAGCGCCGCCTCGTGCAGCTGGAGGCCGAGGCCACCGACCTCAGGCAAACCGTCACTAAACAGGTAAGCAAGCCATCTGACTTATATATATGTGTGTAGTCTCCGTGTGCGATAAATGGATGGATGGATGGATGGATGGGGGGTTGCGTCGGCAGGCTGCTGCGATGGAGGCCCTCTCTCGCGAGAAGGAGCTCTATGTGGGGCGGGCAGCCAACTTGGAGGCGCAGAACCACTCACTCAAGACGGACAAAATACACCTCACCGCGCAGGTGCAAAAGGACAGACGCAGCACGGCTGGATCGGTGGGTGGATAGATGTGTGTGTGTGTATCTGGGTGGGGGCAGGTGACCTCGTTGGAGGATGCCGTGAGCCGCAAGAAGGACCAGCTAGAGGTGGCCGAGGACCAGCTGCAGCAGGCATGGACTCCACACACCGCACACCCCACCACACGCGCCACTCAGACTCAACAGACTCATATATCGTTTGTGTCTGTGCTGTGCATCAATCCAATCAGCTCCGCGGCCGGGAGCAGGAGCTGGTGTTTAAGCTGGACACTCTCAAGACATCGCACGCACAGGAGATGAGGGAGCGGGTGAGCCACCAGCGCACAGAATGCACAGACAGACAGACAGACAGACAGACAGAGACTCCCTCTGTGTCATGCCGACATGCCTCACGTGTCTGTCAGGTAGAGTGTGAGATATCCAAGGCGCGTGCGTCTGCCGACGCCCATCTCGAGGAGGTCCGCCGCCAGTGGGACAGCATCCACGACAGGGAGACCAAACTGCTCATCGAACAGGCAGGCATTAAAACACACCACGCCCCAGCCCCTGAGGCAACCCACCTACGTGTGTGTGTGTGTGTGTGTGCGTCTTAATGCAGCGAGATTCTGCAGAGCGGCGTGTGGAAGAGTATCGTCGCGGCAAGGACGACGCTGACGCCGCGTACAAGGTGATTGAGTGGGTCATCACGACGGCCGTCCATCCATCCATCCATCCATAGAGACACATACAGAGACTGATGTGATTAATGTCTGTGTGTGCGTTCATCAGGTGTTGTCAGAGGAGAACCGCACTCAGCAGCTCAAGCTGCAGCAGGAGATAGTAGACCTCAGGGCACAGGTGGGCAAACACACACCCTCCCTCCCTCCCTCCCTCTCCACCCCAGACACATTGTGAGTGGACGTGTGTGATGTGTGTGTGTGTGTGTGCGCAGCTGAAGGTGAAGAGCTTCGAGTTGGATCGTCTGGGTGTGGCTCACGAGGAGACCCTGCGGCTGCTGCAGAAGAGCCAGATGGACGCAGACCTCAACAAACAGAAAGTCGACCTACTCAGACAGGTAGGTTGGTGTGTTTGTGTGCGCCGCGCCCAAACAGTGGCCAAGTGCCCTCGTTATTGTATGTGTGTGTCTGGTGCACTGCACTGTGCCCCCACTTCACTTCACCTATCCATCCACTCTCTCATCTCACTGGCTCGCTGTCTCAGGAGAATCTCAAGACAGAGAAGAGCCTGCGCGAAGACAACATGCAGGAGAAGGCCGAGCTTGCCCTTCTCCGGTCACCACACCCACCGAAACCCACACCCATCTCATCTGATCTCCTCTGTCTGTGCACCACTGACTGGTGTTTGTGTGTTGTGTGTGCAGCGAGCGCATTCGGCACTACGAGGACGCAGAGGACCTCTGGGACGCCCCGCTACAGCTGCCACCCGCGCCACACAATCAAGGCGCTGAAACTGGGGCTGTCGCCTGTGTGGGTGTAGGAGTGGACGATGGCCATGACGCCACTGGCCCTGCGCTGCGCGACCTGCGGACCCTGCCCGTAGCGGCTCGGCTCAAGCTGCAGTGCAGGAGGCTGCAGGACAGATGCCAGAGGCTGCAGGTGGGATGGGTACCCAAACCACCCAAGCAACACACACACACACTCGGTGGGTGGGTCATGTGTGTCACGCACGTGCATGCATCAATCAGGTTGAGTTGGATGGTGAGCGTGCGGGCCGGTCTCGTGTGGATCGGCAGCTGGCGGCGGCGGTCAAGACGCTGAACGTCAAGGACAAGCCCACCGCATTCCTCACCAACGCACTCAGACAGGCAAGCCAAGCGAGAGATATCTGACATCCGTCCATTCCATGCCCTCCATCGGTTTGCCGTCTGTCTGTCTGTCTGTCTGCCATCGACTGGGTCGTGTCGTGTGGGTGATGTCAGCGTGAGACAGAGGTGCTCGAGTTGCGCGAGGCCGTCACGGGGCTGCAGGAAGAGCTCCAACACGCATTTGTACGTGTGTGTGTGTGTGTGTGTGTGCTTGTAGGGAATGCGCACACGCACCGATGGCATGTGTGGTGTGTTTGTCTCTTCTGCTGTGTCTGTGTGTGCAGGAGGCCGTTGAGGTGCTGCAGAGCGGCAAGAAGGTCGTGGAAAAGTGGCTGCAGGTACACACACGCACACAACACGGCACAACACAAGACAGCCCACCCCCAAAACTGACTGAATAGACATACAACTGTCGCCCCACACACACATATCGTTGTTTCCGTCTCTTGTCATGTCTTACCCACAGGAGGCTGTTCGAGCCCAGCCAGCCGCCCCCGCCACCCACAGCACCCAAGCCACCCACCCACAGCAGCAGCAGCAGCAGCAGCCAGAGCACCCACCCGCCCCCCGTGCAGGTGTGATTGCGCTGCCTCCCCCCTCCCGTCATCATCGCACCCCCAAGTCCACAGGCCACGGCGGGCTCATCGTCATCCGACCTGACGACCCACCCAAAGACGATGACGACTACCCACATGCCCGCATCCACCTCCAAGAACGACAAGACCAAGACCCCTTCATCCGGCACTATGACCCTGGCGCAGAGCTCAAGACGGACAAGTTGGCGGGAGACGGTGCGGTGCATATGCCTGTGCCCGTGGCTGTGGGAGTGGCCAAGAAGTTTGGCAGTGGTGGTGGTGGTCATGTGCAGCCGCTGCAGCAGGGTGGCTTGGTGAGTGGCAGGGGGATGGGCCGGGGAGGGGGAGGGGGTGGCGGTGGCGGTGCTGGTGGGCCCCCCTTTGGTGCACTCGGGAGAGGGGGCGTGCGTGTGGGAAGGGGTGGTGGGGACAAGAGGGGCGATGCACAAGCCGCCAGGAAGAGATAGATAGATGGGCGGGCAGATACAGACAGGCAGACAGGAGGAAGAGTAGACGAATCGCTTACAGGACAGGACAATGATTGATTGCAAAGTTGCCGGGAATGGTCCTCACTCATAGGCGCAGAGAACGTTGCAACCAGACACATCATCAAGCAAGCAACCAACAAATCACCGCGGGGTCCCTCACTCACCCAGACACTCGGTCGTCTCACCCCGACCTACACACATGTGAGAGAGGCGCCAAAGGAATGCAGAGACCAACACACCGACGCCAGCCCGCCCGTCTGTCTGTCTGTCTGTCTCAGCCCCTAGCCGCATGCCTCGTCGCCTTGTTGCCTCCTCCACCACCAAATCAACTCTGCTGTCCCGGCTCCCACGGCTGGGATGCGAACAGCCCATCCATGGCCATGGCGGCGGCGGCTGGTGGTGGATGGGATGGCGGGTATGAGCCATGGTCGGTGGGAACAGCATTATATGGCGGGGAATATGCCGATGTTCCTGGAGGGGCGGGGGGCATGCTGGGATTGGGGTGGGGCTGGGGCGGGTGGGCTGGTGGATCCGATTGAATGCCGTGGGATGAAAACAGAGCCTGCGATGCGATGCATTCACGGGTTTCGAGAGGGAAAGACAGTGGAGACATGAGGGAGGGACCATGAGTGTGTGGCTGTGTCTCCGCCACTGTCTTGTGCGCACCTTTATGTAGCCTTCATCCGTCAACACGGTTGGACCTGCTCACGACAGTCCAGCAACAACGCCTAGCTTTATGGACATTGCATCGGCACATGTGTTTACCAATACTGATGTCTGAAAGCAGCAGGGCTGACGGCTCCGGTGGACTTGGAAGCCTCTCCGCCACCCATTTGTGCAGCACGTAGCGCAGCAATCCCTCAAAGCTCTGCAGCACCATCACACCATGCGACTCGAACTCCAAGTCGGACGGCTGGGACGGCTGGGACCTGTCATGACAGACCAAGGAATGGACAAAGAAACGTCTCTTCCCTTCACCCTGTTGTCCCATTTCTGTCTCTCCTTATGTGTCGGGTGTCCACCGCGGTCTCTGCAGCTTCACAACGGGCAGCTGCAGCTGCGCTGTCTTCTGCCAGATGTCCTGCTCACGGAGATTGCCGGCGGGACGCTCCATCGCACCTGCTCCCGACCTGCCCGTCCCCTGCACCCAAAACGCGCAAAGGATGGCCGCATCAATGTCATCTTGTAAGTATGTGTGAGCGGTGCACCCTATGCGGGCATACGTCATGGTAGGCGACAATGGACGGCTTCGGTCCCGTCGGGGGGGCGAATCGGTTTGCCGCCGCCACCCACTCGTCCAAGTGATCGAGACACGGCTGGTCGGTAGCTGTGCGGCACAGTGGCACACAGAGGGTAGAAAATGTGGATGCCCCTTCCCTTCCACCATGACCTATAGGTACGCACCATCGAGAAAGAAGATGACTCCCAGGCTGTTCACAGCCAGGTGAGAGGCGGTGCGCATGTAGCGCGCCAAAGGGGGACAGACCAAAAGCTCAACCTGCAGACAGACAGACAGACAGACAGACCTTTGTCACATGCATTAATTACAGCGTTCCCCCCCGCGACCCACCCGGTGCACAAGGCCGTCCATCCTATAGAGCAGCCGGATGTACAGGATGGAGTCAGTGCTCTCCACCACCTCCCGCGGTTCGCAGTCGGACAGGTCCAGGAACTCCTCCAGCCACTCAACCGCCGCCGCTGCTGCTCCAGCACCGTCCCCGTGGGGCTGCAATGAGCAGAGAGCATCCATTGCGTGAACACGAGGTGGTGGGCATCAGTCATGCAAGTTGAACGTGGACGGCACCTGGAGGATGCAGATGCTGAGGCCGAAGTGAAAATGCTCCTCCATTTCTGAGTTCAGGCATGAACGCGAGCTTTGTCGCGATCTTGGGGTTTAGGGTTCCGGATTGGGTCCGCGTTCCCCAGGATCACTTGTGGATCTGCCGATACGCACGAGGCGCGATGCGTATTGGGAACTTCCGCCAACTGCTGTGTCCCGCAATTTTTCCCGCTTCGGTGACTTCCGCCAACTGCTGCAGCTCGGTTTCATCGCGGACCAAGGACAACCCGAGAACAGTCAGTCCCGGCATATCTGATAAGTGCTGCTACCCGACCCGCACCACTCGGCCGCATGGCGTCTTTCTCTCCAGTTCAGCAGTCTGAAGAGGCGTGGAGTGAGCCACCGCCCCTGTCCCAGTCACAGCTGCTGCTGTCCGACCACCCTCTGCACGTCGACCACCCCACTTCGCCCTTGCTGCTTTCGCCAGCGGGACACACCTCGGCCGGCAGCCTCTTCACGCATCCTGACGCGGAGGCGGGCGGGGAAGAGGCGGAGGACAGATTTGCACACCGGCTGACCAAGCCCCTTCTGCTGTCCGGGATCGAGAGCGCCTCAACGAGAACATGCGAGTCCCCCCTGAGAGCGTCATGGTCGCCAGGCGAGGGCGGTCTGTTGGCTGAGGATACGACACCCGGGAGCGTCAGCAGCAGTGATTCCAGCCTGATGTGTCAGTGCCGCGCGCAGGTATGCTCAATATATTCTTAATGGAATGGACAGACAGACGGACAGACGGACAGACAGACAGACAGGAGGGCGGGTGTTGCATGTCTGTCTTGACAGGTGATGCTCAAGAAATGGCATGGCGGGTGGGTGAGGAGGACGCTTTGCGTGTGCAGCCGAGGGGACGTGTTGCTGTTTGACCCCCACCCCACCGAAGTTCTCGCTTCATGCCTGCAAATGGTATGTATGCATCTATATGGGCGAGGAATCGATGGATGGGTGTCGGCTTGGCATGCGTGGCCCGTTCCTTCACTGCACACTCTCATTTGTGTGTGTGTGTGTGTGTGTGCAGGTATCGTGCCGGTCTGGTCGTATGGTTTCTTTCCCCTCGCCGAAGAGAGAAAGGCGAGTCCGCGAGCACCTCAACGGGCGGGACATCTTCGAGGCCTCTCTGAAAGGAGACAAGAAACTCGAAATCGTACGTCACCCCACCAACACAACACACAGCCCACGGCATCTATACATAGTTTGTGCGTGAGTGGTTGGTGAATGGATGGGTGCAGGTGATATCTACTCGTGGTGGCGTGACGTGGCGTGTGCGGTGCTGTTCGCTAGAGTCACTTCCACTGGTCTACCAGTGCCTCACGCAGACGACACAGCAGCCGATGTCGTCGTTCGTGTGACACACAGAAGACACGGTGGGTTCGATGATCGATGATCAATAGTCCGTGGACGATCATTTTTCGATATTGTGTACCCATACTACGTATACGTACATACATACATGCATGCATACATACATATATGTGTACATATATATGTATATACATATACATTACATATGTATACGTACACGAGTATTTTTTCCTGTGCAGTCTGTGGATAGATAGATAGCTAGGCATTCAGGGCCATACACACATACACTCGTCGTACACGCATACATACACGCGTATGGCTGGCGTGGTGTACACTGTTGTTTGTTCTTCTTCTTGCTCTTCTTCTTTGTGTCGTCGTCTTCCTCTTGGTCGTAGGCATTACTGTTTACGCTCTTTATCCATTCCACTCACTCCTTCACAAACCTTGCTGCTGTCCATTCGTACCGAGCCGAGTGATTTGTGCGTGCTGGGTGCAGTGTGGTGCATGTAGTGTGCACCGAGGAGGAAAGAGAGAAAGGGCTTGTTACGGTTTTTTATGTTAGATTTGTTCCTCATTCTTTGTCACTAAGACCTGCCCGCGTCCGACAAGAACGCGGCGAGAGGGCTTTCTGGTGTGAACGCTGACTGCCGCACGTGTGCAGGGTCATTTTCTAACAGGTAGCATGAGTGTATGGATGGGTGGATGGGCCGGGTGCATCGGAGGCCAGCCTTGCATTGATGATCCACTGACTGTGGCCAGCTGCCTGCTGTTTTTCCAGCATGCGACACCTCAGCACGTCAGAATCGACTGTGTGGTGCTCCTCTCGACTGCCTGCCTGCCCGGCCACCTGTGGTGCCGTCACGCCTTTGCCTTTCCTGGTGTGTGCTCCTTTCCTTCGTTCTGTCGCGCCACACACATGCGACACATGCGTGGTCCTGTGCAGGCAGGCAAGACTAGCCAATGCGCCAGGTGTGTACAAGTGTATTGGGCAATGGTATCAGTACAGGACGACCGTTTCGGTGACCTTTGAATGAAGGGCAAGTGGTTTGATCTCTCTCAGGATGGCCCCAAAACGAAGGCCCCAGAAAGAGGCGCGCAAGGGTGATTGCTGCGTTGGTATAGTTGTTGAGCACGTAGTCATCGTTCGTTCGTCGTGCGGTGCAAATGGCGGACGCCAATTTGAAGGCAGATGACGGCAGTTCGCTATCGCTGTTCATCCGGTATCCCAACCAGGAGGCGGTCCACAGAGAAATAGACCCCTCCCTCGCCTTGAGGGAGCTTCGGATCATCTTCAGGATACAGGACGACCAGCAGTAAGGATGCACAAGCATGATATATGCGGCAAGACCATTATACAATCCTGAGACTCGTGGCTGGCTTCATGGCATTGATTGCAATGGCAACTGTTACACTTGTGTGTCGATGGCTGCAGGCTGTTGGTCAACCATGCGACGCATCGCGACACGTTCTTCTTGCTGGAGAGGATGGACCAGCTGTTCGACGGCGCGACTTTGCGGGTCAGTCGTAACCGAGTGACGTTGTCCAGTGACGATGTTAAATGTACCACACCTACGGGATACTTTGTAGGTCGTCGTACCGAAGCGGCGGCTCATCGTCACCAAGGACACGCCCCATGGCGACAAAAGGGTGACTCAACGCGTCCACGGATGGCGACAGACATGATCACTGAAAAGTAATAAGAGAATGCATTTGTACTTACTGTCTTTTCATCAGGTAGTGTGTTGGTACCCCGGCTCGTCAGTGGAACAGATAGAGGCGGCGATTCTGCGGGGATGGCAGATCAACGGGCCAGTGGACTTTAAGACCACAGACGGGGAGGGGCTCGTCCTCTCTGATACGGTGGGTGGGTGCAGGGCAGACATGCATGCATGCACACATGGCTGGCGGGCGGCGAAAAGCGTGCCGTGCCGTGCCGTGCCGTGCTGTGTGCCTGCATTCTCTCCTGCCTTCTGCAGATACCCAACGACACCCACGTCGTCCTGCAGGAAATCGCACTCACAAGTGAGCAGAACAAGTGTCAAAACATCCATAAGTGCATTCATGAAGGCACGTATGCTGATGTCGTCGTGTTGTCGTTATCTGCCAGGGCCCAGTGCTGCTTCGTGGAGCAGGGCCGCTCCCAGCACAGCAGCGGCGGGCGTCAAAGGCCCCGATGTGCCGCCCGCCGTGCCTCTGCCTCTCGAATGGCAGCAGCCCGGCCAGAGCAACACCGCGCCATCCACACCTAATCTCAGAGTCAGGCAGCCCATCAACAGGTCGGTCGGTGAGTGGGAGACGCTGATTCGCAGGCAGAGAGAAAGGAAGACAATTAAGGTTGGTTGTATTGTATTGTATTGTATTCCATTTCATTGCAGGTCTGGTGTCCGCGGGGCTGTGTATGGCCGTGATCACATCCGGGACGCACTGAGGCAGACCGGGGCACGCGCACAGAGCACACACGCAACCTCACGACTGAGACACACACAGGTGGGGCACCTGGGTGGGTGGGCGACACACACGGGACTCGACCACCCCTCTGTCTCTTCCCCTGTGTGCTGTGCTGCAGCCATCGGTGTGCCCCCCCACCTCGCCCCCTCAGTTTTCGACATCGTCCGTGCCGTTCTCCTCCTTCCCGGCCCCGCCCAGCCGCACCAGCAAGGCAGCGGTCGCAGCTGGGGGCGGCGGCGCCATGCTGCGGCATGGGCAGGCAGGACGGGCCGCCAGGGACAAGGGAGGAGTGGGGAGGGGGGGCATCGGGGGGGCCGCTGATGGGGCCTCACCCAGTGCCATAGACGCGGTAAGTGGCGCGTTTAGAGGGGTGGAATGGTCGAGTGGTGGGATGCATGGGCATGCTATGTCTCTCCCCCTCCCCCCTCTCTCTCTCTCTGTGTGAGTGTGTGTGTGTATGTGTGTGTGTCAGAGTTGTGCGCACATATTGACGGGCCATAGCGGTTACGTGTTGAGTCTGTGCATAGTGGGCGACGTGCTCTTCACCGGCGGGCAGGACGGCAGCGTCCTCATCTGGGACCTCAACAACTTGCAGTACATCGGGACTCTACCCGGACACAAGGGATTCGTCAGGTCCAATGCACTCTGCTCGGCCCTGCTGTGATGTCGTCATGACACTGATTGTCGATCTCTGCCGTCCGTATGGGTAGGTGCCTGAAGGCCTCTTATGCGCGCAAGATGCTCTGCAGCGGCTCCCAGGACAAGACGGTCAAGGTACGCCTTGTGACACACACACACTCTGTGTGTGATAGGTGTGGACACTTGGATGGATGGCTGGATGGCTGGATGTGTGGAAGGTGTGGAGCCTTGAGTCGTTCAGCTGCAGCAAGACCCTGCGCGGCCACAGCCGAGAGGTGCACGCCATCGTCCTGTGCGAGGCGGCGGCCCTGATCATCAGCGGCGGGGACGACAAGACCATCCGGGTGTGGTGCATGAACAAACTACTGCCCCTCGTCGTGCTCGACACCGCACACAACTCGGGTAGGAAGGGAACTTCACCCACATGCCACCCGAACCTAACCGAACCCACCAGAACCTTAGTGTGCGTGTGCGCGTGTGTATTGTGGACGGCCAGGTATTTTTTGTTTGGACGCCTTGCCGGGTGACAATGTGGTCAGCGGCAGCAGAGATCGCTCTATCAAGGCGAGCAACCAGCAACATGCCCGCCACACCACTTTTCACCCCACCCAGCCCTATCTATAGAAGGGCTCTGTGTCCTTGTGTGTGTGTGCAGGTGTGGACGACTAGCTCCTGGGGCAGTGTGCGTACGCTCCACCCGCCCCACTACGACAGCGTGACGGCCTTTGCGGTCATCGATGAGGGGCAGAGGTTCTTCTCCGCCAGCAGAGACAAATCTATCAAGGCACTCACACACACACACACACACAGAGAGAGAGAGAGAAAGAGAGAGAGGGACGGGGGAGAGAAATGTGCGCATCTGTCTGTCTGTCTGTCTGTCTGTCTGGTCTGCAGTCGTGGGAGACGGCTGACCTGCAGGCGTCCTCGCACATGCTGCACGCACACGACGACTGGATCTTCGTACGTATACTCTCACACACACACCACCACCACCACCGCTTTGCGTGGTGTTTTCCATGTATGTGTGGATATGGGTCCTGTCTGCAGAGCCTGGTCGCAGCGCCTGCCGAGCGGCTGCTCTTCTCGGGTTCCAAGGACACTACCGTGAAGGTGAGTGAGTCGAGTGGAGAGACAATGTGTCTCTCTCTGACTTGACTCACTCAACCGAACGAACATACCCAATCAATGCCATGGCATTGCAGGTATGGGACTACAACCTGCGGCACAAGGGCGACCTGCAGG